CTGCGTTCAGGCAACCCCTGAACATGGCACATACCCTAAAATCTTGGATCTTGGATCTTGGAGGGTTGCATTCGAGCAACCCTAAGTCTAAAATTTAGGGCGTGTGCCAGGTAAATGATTTTGGAGGGCCGCATTCAGGCAACCCTAAGTCTAAAGTTTAGGGCGCATGACGGGTAAAGGATCTTGGAGTGCCACATCTGAGCAACCCTAAGTCTAAAGTTTAGGGCATGTGCTGGGTACATGATCCTGGAGGGCTGCATTTGGGTGACCCTAACGCTAAAGTTTAGGATATGTGCCATGTACAGGATCTTGGAGGGTTGCATTCGAGCGACCCTAAGTCTAAAATGTAGGGTGTGTGCCGGGTAAATGATTTTGGAGGGCAGTGTTCAGACAATCCTGAGTCTAAAGTTTAGGGCATGTGCCGGGTAAATGATCTTGGAGGGCCACATCTGGGTGACCTTAAGTCTAAAGCTTAGGGCATATGGCGGGTAAATGATATTAGAGGGCCACATTCGGCTCATGGACGTTAGTTTGGGGACTCCTGTCATAGAAATTGGCATCATCTGGTGTAGGCACACACATAAGTTTTAGATTTAGGGTCACACAGATATGGGTGCACAACCTGTAGCCCTCCAGCTGTTTTGACTTCCAACTCTCAGAAACCCTAACCAACTTGTCCAATGGCCAGGAATTCTGGGAGTTGAGGGGCAAAACAGCTAGAGGCCCAGAGGTTGTCCAAGCCTAAGCTGCCATCCCTCCATGGGCTTCTTCTGAATTTGCTGTTGATGTTCTCCCATCCTTACCTGATCAAGAGAGTAAAGAAAAAAAGCAATTATCTATGCCTAATGTACAAGCTGGGTTTAGAAAAGGAAGAGGAATGAGAGACAAAATTGCCAATATCTGCTGGATAATGGAGAAAGGCAGGGAGTTTCAGAAAAACATCTATTTCTGTTTTATTGACTATTCTAAAGCCTTTGACTGTGTGGATCATAATAAATAGTGGCAATTTCTTGGTGGGATGGGGATACCAAATCAACTTATCTCTCTTCTGAGGAATCTGTATAAGGACCAAGTAGCAACAGTAAGAACTGGCCATGGAACAACAGACTGGTTCAAGATTGGGAAAGGCATACAGCAGGGTTGTATACTCTCACCCAACCTATTCAACTTGTATGCAGAACACATCTTGGTTGCCAATGTGATGTCTCTACTCTTCATTATTTTATCGAGATTGGACATTGCTCTCCACCCGCAATGTGCGGGCTTGACGAATGCAAGGCTGGGGTAAAAATGGCTGGAAGAAACATTAACAACCTTAGATATGCAGATGACACCACTTTGATGGCTGAAAGCGAGGAGGAGCTGAGGAGCCTTCTAATCAAGGTGAAAGAAGAAAGCGCAAAAGCTGGGTTGCAGTTAAACATAAAAAAACCCAACATTATGGCAACAAGAATGATTGACAACTGGGAAATAGAGGTAGAAAACGTGGAGGCAGTGACAGACTTTGTATTTCTAGGTGCAAAGATTACTGCAGACGCAGACTGCAGCCAGGAAATCAGGAGACGCTTACTTCTTGGGAGGAGAGCAATGACTAATTTCGATAAAATAGTGAAGAGTAGAGACATCACACTGGCAACCAAGATCTGCATAGTTAAAGCAATGGTATTCCCCATAGTCACCTATGGATATGAGAGCTGGACCATAGGGAAGGCTGAGTGAAGGAAGATAGATGCTTTTGAACTGTGGTGTTGGAGGAAAGTGCTGAGAGTGCCTTGGACAGCGAGAAGATCCAACCAGTCCATACTTCAAGAAATAAAGCCTGACTGCTCATTGGAGGGAAGAATAGTAGAGGCCAAGATGAAGTACTTTGGCCACATCATGAGAAGAAAGGAAAGCTTAGAGAAGACAATGATGTGCTGTCACGCGCTGGGCCTATAGCAGTTGGCTTTTGAACAGGACATGCTCTTTGTGCCCAGCGGGAAGCCGGGGTGCCTCGAGTGAGAGGCCCTAAGGATTTTCCTATACAGAGTCTTTAGAAACTTGAAAGGTTTAACAAAGTCCTTTATTATTGCTTAAGTCTTCAACAAACAATCAAATTCTACTTAGATCTTCAACAAATTAAACAAATGCTTCAAGGCTTTGAATCAACTGGTGGCTTTCTTAATCTTGTCCACAAGGGACAGGCAACTGGCTTCGTGAACTGTTTCTTTTCTTTAAGAGGAAAACCCTTTTTAACCCCTCCTTGGGCAATCTACTTTCTAAACTTAGCTGGTGTGGGCTCTACTCCCGGCTCCAAACTGCTTCTTGGGTCCCGAGTAGACCTACCAGTCAAGGCTTTGTAGATTCTCCAGCTGGAGTCCTTTGGAACTGTTTTCCCCTGGAATTTCCCCCGGATGCTGTGAGAAACGAAGCTTCTCTACAGGTGGAGCTAATCCACGTCCTGTAGCTAAGCTTTCCAATGCAAGACTGACCTAAAATGGCTCCCTCTCCTCCCAGAACCCTGGGGAAAGGGGCGGAACCAAAACTTAACAATGATTGATGGGTCATTGGCCCTATAATTGCAAACCAAGGGAAGCCACCTTATTGCAAAATGCATGGAACTTTGGAATACATGCAAACACTCAAAGAAAGAAAATGAAGTTTATTTATTTATTTATTTATTTGGGGTGCTTCTACCCCGCCCTTCTCAACCCCCTAGGGGGGACTCAGGGCAGCTTACAAAAGGCACAATTCGATGCCTAACAATTACAAAATACAATGCAATATACAATACACAAATTACCATATAATATCACAGTTATAGCTAATTAAAACAATCAACAGTATACTAGCATCAATAAAAACATCTTGTGGTCAATGTTCACCAAATCCAAGTCCGTAAACCATTTAGCATTGTCATTGTCCTTTCCTACTCTGGTCATTATTGGTTGTCTTTGTCCATCTGCCAGCTTACCCGAAGGCCTGGTCCCACATCCAGGTTTTTAGCTTCCTTCTGAAAGAGAGGAGGGATGTTGATGACCTAATTTCCCCGGGGAGTGCATTCCACAGGCGAGGGGCCACCACCGAGAAGGCCCTGTCCCTCGTCCCCACCAGTCTCGCTTGTGATAAAGGTGGGGCCGAGAGCAGGGCCTCCCCCTCAGATCTTAAACTCCGAGGTGGGATGTAGAAGGAGATACGTTCAGACAGGTACGCTAGGCGAGCCGTAAAGGGTTTTGTAGGTCAAAACCAGCACTTTGAATTGTGCTCGGAACTGGATCGGCAGCCAGTGGAGCTGACATAGCAGGGGGGTGGTATGCTCCCTGTATGACGCTCCGGTGAGTTTTTTGTAAGTCAGATGTTTGTAACTCAGGGACTGTTTCCATGTGAGTAGTTATAATCCCCACTGAGCTTGTAAGAGTTGTCATTGTTCTACAATGTTCAGAACCCTCTAGCTAGTGTGGTCTGTGATTCTAGTTCCCCAAAAGTAGGTCCTCCAAACTCTGTAAGTGTGAATGCACTCTCAACAGGTTGCGTAAGGGCACATCCAGATAGTGCACGGCTCCAGTCGTTGTGCCCACAGGTTCATTGGAACACACAACCCCCCTCACCACGACAAGGTGACAGTCCATCGAGGGAGATGAGCTTGCAGCACAACAAACCAGGGATGAGCTTGCAGCACCGCCTAGTTTGGAAGAAGTCAGGAATGCCTTCAGCCAACAAAAGAATAACAAAGCCAGCGGACCAGATGGGATCCCTGCTGAAATCTTTAAAGAGGGAGGACCTGAGCTGACACAACAACTCCACCAGCCACCGCCCGTTGGACTAATTGAAGTTTCCGAACAGTCTTCAAAGGCAACCCCACGTAGAGCGCGTTGCAGTAATCTATTCGGGATGTAACAAGAGCGTGGACCACCGTGGCCAGATCAGACTTCCCAAGGTACGGGCGCAGCTGGTGCACAAGTTTTAATTGTGCAAAAGCTCTCCCGGCCACCGCTGAGACCTGGGGTTCCAAGTTGGAGCTTTTGATACAGCCGTACCAGCACAATGATGCTGGGGAAAATGGAAAGAAAAAGGAAGAGGTGCCGACCAAGGGCAAGATGGATGGATGTCATACTTGAAGTGACTGGATTGACCTTGAAGGAGCTGGGGGTGGTGACGGCCGACAGAGAGCTCTAGCGTGGCCTGTTCCATGAGGTCAGGAAGAGTCGGAAACAACTGAACGAATGAACAACAACATGCCTAATGGAGGACGGTCTACCACTGAGAAGATATTCTGTCTACCAGTTGCCCTCTGTATTCTGCAAGAAATAGCCCTCAGAAAACAGCTTTGTTTTTTCAATCTCTAAAGTTATTACAAAAATGTAAGCAAGCAACAAAAAAACAAAACGGGATCATAAGGGCTGCTGGTAAAAAACAAATTCTGATAAAACCAAAATAGTTTCAAGGCAAACGCTCGGAGTGAAAAGTTTAGAACGAGACTTGAGCTTCGGCAATGTCTCCAAGAAGCCCAAATAGCTGGAGGAAAATAGGAAGAGCACATGTGGAACTAATTACTTATGAAGACTCTCTGACAAAGAACATTTCTGCAGACTTTTCATGGGGGCTTCACTTTCAGGAAGTGGCAGTAATTACTGTGCAAGTCCAAAGCAGCCTGCTTATGACTCGCTCCTTCCAAGATTTTTTTTTTTTTGGAATTTTACGAAACACTTTTCTGACAGAGTCCAAAAAGCTAGCAAATAAAAGGAAAAGCAGCTCAGCTACACGAATCAGAAAGTTTACATTATTCTTTCTCTTTGTGGCTGTTTCATTAAAAAAAACTCTTTAATTCACTCTGAGCTGAACTTGCTGCAGCAAAACTGTACTTCTTGAGTTTTTACAGCTTTTCCATAGTGGGGCCCATTTCCTGCCCAGTTGAAGAAAAAAACCTGGCCTCAAGATGAAATGACTGCTTAACATTACACTAAAACATCTGGTACCATTTTATACACAGACCCATGTCTGAGAGCAGGCAATTCCAGCGGTCTCACCAGCGGCACAGTGCATACCCAAACCTCCCTAGGGTGACATCATCCCATATATGGATGCTCAGGCCCAGCCCTCCCCTTTCTCCTGGTTCTAAATTCATTGCCAGATCCACAGTCTACTGCAAATGTGCCACGTCAAGGCTCGAAATCGCAGCACTTCGGTGCATTTCAAGGAGGGCTGCAGAATTTGAGGGAATGCTGAGAACAAAGCCCGATATGGGAAGGGAGATTTCTTTGCTTTTTTAAAACCCAAAGACTCAAAGAGGAACCCAACCCAATCCTGCTCCGTCGCCCCAGTGTTCAGACTACCTGTTCAGGACAATGCTGTTGTACAGTAGTCTGCACATTGGTTAGACTGGGCAAGGAAACGCACCAAGACGGACTCCAGAAAACGTCAGAGAGAAGACTGGCAAGCATGGCGCTTTTCAGATTTTATGCTCAGTGTTTTTCTTCACAGGTCTGGCATGGTAGGAAATAGGGCATACGGGGAAAGGAAGACTTCCGAGTAGTTCATGGAAGACATACTGGTAAGGCCTATGTACTTTGGAAGAGCGTCTGACCTACAACCTGGAAATGAGTGATACTCCTGACCTGTTCTGGCAGGCAAGGAAAATGAAGCTCTTCTATAGGGCGAACACACATGCAACAGGAATAAGAAGGGTATATCTTAATCCATTAGGACGCAAATGAGACTTGAATGCAGCTGTCGTATAGTAGTTTGTAACCATGTCATTTGTTTTTTCCCTGAGTTACTACTAATATATGTGTTATCACTATGTAAATTACTAAGTTTCCTTCTGGAAAAAAGTGTTTCCATCCCTACTGCTATTCCTATTTAATTGTTTTTTTTCCCCGAGTTACTACTAATATATGTGTCCTCACTATGTAAATTACTAAGTTCCCTTCTGGAAAAAAGTGTTTCCATCCCTACTGCTATTCCTATTTAATTGTTTTTTCCCCGAGTTACTACTAATATATGTGTCCTTACAATGAAAAATTACTAACTTTCCTTCTGGAAAAAAGTGCTTCCATCTCAACTGCTATTCCTATTTAATTGTTTTATTTTATTTATTTAATAATTTTATTTATTTATTTATTTTATTTTAATTTTAGAGTTTTAAGTTCTGCTTGAAAACACGATTTCTCCTTTTACACAAAATATAACACCAAACTTTGAAAAATCTGTCTGCTAAATGTACATCCTGAGTTGTATCTTTGTCCTTCCAACTCATAGGATGCCTCTGATCCAGAGATGCCCATATATTCTGAGCAGGACCATAGCCAGAAAAAAAAATTGGGGGGAGGGGGTGGGGTTGATTTTTTATTTTGTGTGAATCATGAGAAGTAGTTCCATTACACAAAATAATGTAACTAGTATGATTCATTCTATATTTTTTCAGAGTTACTACTAATATATGTGTTATCACTATGTAAATTACTAACTTTCCTTCTGAAAAAAAGTGTTTCCATCCGTACTGCTAGTCCTATTTCATGGTTATTTTAGATTTTTAAGTTCTGCTTGAAAAAATGATTTCTCTTTTTACACAAAATGTAACACCAAACTTTGAAAAATCTGTCTATAAGAGATTGCTAAATGTACATCCTGAGTTGTAACTTTGTTCTTCCAACTCATAGGATGGACATCTCTGATCCAGAGATGTCCATATAGTCTGAGCAGGACCATAGCCAGAAAAGAAATTCGGGGGGAGGGGTGGGGTTGATTTTTTATTTTGTGTGAATCATGAGAAGTAGTTTCATAACACAAAATAGTTTAAATAGTATGATTCATTCTATATTTTATATAGACTTAATTAAATCAATTTTCTCGTCTCCTTCACGGGGGGCTTCAAATCCCTCCCATGCCATAGGCTTTGCCTACCAGTTGTGGGTGGGCCAACTTTGTTGCTTCCACTATATCAGCGATTGCTTCAAGTACTGACTGTGAATAAATTGTCAAAATTTGCTTGAGATAGTGTTTGCAGTTCTGGAGAGACTTGTTTAGTTTTTGCTTCTCATAGACTTAGCAGGGGGCAGGCATGTAGCCGGGGGGGGGGGGGCCTTGAGGGGCTTCAGCCCCCCCCCCCCCGAAATTCTCATGGTGGTCCGCGAGAAGGCCTTACTGGTACATTATTAAAACTGTTATGTTTATTCATATCATGATCTGATCACCATGCTCAATATATCCCATATGCATGGGGGTATTGGGGTAACGATACAAAAGGTTTGCTAGGGTAGACCCTCTTTCACTCAGACTCAGCCCCCCCCCCCCCCCCCAAAACAAAATCCTGGGCCTGGCAGGGGATTTGGTTAACAGTTAAAATTCATGAGTAAACAAGTTTTTTAAAAACCTGAACAATTTGGGGAGGGGGGGGGGAATTGACCCCCTATCCCCCCCCTTTCTTGGCTACTTCCCTGATTCCGAGGTGCAGTATCAGATTGGTTTTGTTTACAAAAAATAGGCAAACAGATCACGGATCAATACTAAATAAATATTCAAAAATAATAAAAGATAATAATAATCAAAAATAATAATAAAGAAATATGCTGAGTTCAGAGGCAACATCCATCCCTGAGTTCTGCATGTTATTGGAAGGATCTTGTGATCTTGTATGGCTTTTCATATATAACCAAATTTCTGTAGACATAGGCAATATCTCTGCAACCCCCCTCCCCTATATGTTCATTTGGCAAAGGAATAATTGGATTCAATTTAATATGTTTAGTATATAATATAGAACAGCCAGACAAATTAGAAATATTTGAAAATGCATTATTTATACCTAGGCATTGATTACCACTCTGTCCTGCATCAAAAGAAGTTTATACTCATGGAAGCTCGAGCGAAAATAAAAACTAGTTAGTCTTAAAGGTGCTGCCATGTTTTTTTTCCTCTCCACACTCCCTTCCTTTCTCCTTTTTTTTATCTTTTGTATTATTAGGCACGACCCATTTATTATCAGGAAATTATCTTGGGAGCTTCTGGAAAGGCACGAACATTTGAGTGACCTTTTAAGATCCTGGCCCATTGATTCCAGTGATAGAAAGAGGAATTCCTTTGGTGAGTTTTCCCACTGAATGAAGTCTTCCTTCGTAGGAAAAGTTCGTCCTGTAACATGGGCCATTTTTCCCCTTTAGTTTTGGGACTGGTTAAAGTGGGGCTTTAAAACCCCACTTTTCATAATGTTCACATCATTGTAAAATATGTAAAAGGAGAAATGTTGATATTACGATTGCAAACAAAATCACCCTCTGCATTTCAGAATGCATTATAATAATTTACACCTCCACCAGAGACTTGAAGATGTATGTGTGTGTGTAAGTATGTATATGTATGTGTGTATACCAGCCCTCTGTTTCATTTTGGATTAAAGTAGGTAAAACATGAAATGAGTACATATTTAATACGTCTTGTAGGAATGGGAGGACAGTTCAGGATCGAGACTTGATGTGCAGAGTGGAACTGGAGTTACCTTTTTTCCTACGAAATTTTCCCCAGTGCATGTCCCAGGAAAACTGATATTTCTCCCTGTCTTCAGCCCTATCTATACTGGCATATTGTCCAGTTTCTGAATTGCATTGAACTGGATGATATGGCAGTGTAGACTCAGCCTTTGATGGCAAGGGCAGCTTCCTTTGTGGAATGAAATATAATGCAGGGCCCAGGAATGCAGCGGAGAGAGTCCTTCCACATTTTTAAGGGATCTGTTGCAGAAGGCGGAGGGAGGGCCGAACAGACTTTCCCTGTGTGCCAGGACCTCGGTAGCTGCTATTTTTTAAAAACAGAAGCAAGATATGTTACAGGGAAAATGCATTTTTAACTTCAACTAGCTTGATCCTCTGGATTTAATTTTATCTAAATCATTCCTGACTGCTTTGCAATCGGTTATTGCTGCTTTGTTTCCTAGTTCTGTATCTCACTGTGCAGTCCAATCCTATTCGGTCTGATTTCACAGGACTAACTTCCAGGTAAGATAATATACAACACCATCTTTCAGGCCATCACATTCATGTTTTAGATGAAGGCCATATTTATCTTTTAGATTTCTTGCATCTTAGCAACACAATTACATTGTAAATAGAAGTTACAACAGCAAATTGAAAGAAGCCAATAGTTTTGCAATAAAAGGGTATATTATTATTATTATTATTATTATTATTATTATTATTATTATTAGATACACAACAAGATTAATACACAGCAAACAAGATCATTATCCTGGCTTTTGTATTGGATCGCATGGCGGTCACTTTCCAAATGACTAGGACTGTGTGATTTATTATTATTATTATTATTATTATTATTATTATTATTATTATTATTATTACGGCCAATTCTCTCACACCAGAAGCGACTTGCAGTTTCTCAGGTCACTCCTGACACAACAAAAAAAAAWTATTATTATTATTATTATTATTATTATTATTATTATTATTTTACTGACACAAAAGCACAGTATGCCACAGCAAACGAGATCTATATGCTGGATTTCGTATCACAAAATCACAAGTCGAACACTTCACAAGCGTAATAATAATAATAAGAAMAATAATAATAATGACACAAAAACACAGTATGTCACAGCAAACGAGATCTATATGCTGGATTTCGTATCACAAAATCACAAGTCGAACACTTCCCAAGCGTAATAATAATAATAATAATAATAATAATAATAATAATAATAATAATAATAATTCTGACACAAAAACACAGTATGACACAGCAAATGAAATCTATATGCAAAGGCTCTGGCATAAACCAATACAGGTGGTCCCAGTGGTCATTGGCACACTGGGTGCCGTGCCAAAAGATCTCAGCCGGCATTTGGAAACAATAAACATGAATCATGATCTGTCAACTGCAAAAGGCCTCCTTACTTAGATCTGCACGCATCATTCGGAAATACATCACACAGTCCTGGACACTTGGGAAGTGATTTTGTGATACGAAATCCATCATCATCATCATCATCATCATCATCATCATCATCATCATTCTGACACAAAACCACATGTAAAATTATTATTGTTATTATTATTATTATTATTATTATTATTGACACAAAACCACATATAAAAGTATTCTTGTTGTTAATAATAATAATAATAATAATAATAATAATAATAACAATAATAATAATAATACCCTGCTTTATCTCTTCTGCAGGAAGACTCAAAGCGGCTTAACATGAAAGACAGTTCACTATCTCTCAAATTATTGCTTTAATGTTTGGGTTAATTTTATAACCCGTTTGATTGTTTACAAACCTTTTGGGCAGATTAGAAGCCAGAACAAAGGCGAGAGCAAAACTGATTGTTTCAATAGTGCAGGTCCCCGGTGGCGCAGTGGGTTAAACCCCTGTGCCGGCAGGACTGAAGACCGACAGGTTGCAGGTTCGAATCCGGGGAGAGGCAGATGAGCTCCCTCTATCAACTCCAGCTCCTCATGCGGGGACATGAGAGAAGCCTCCCACAAGGATGATAAAAACATCAAATCATCCAGGCGTCCCCTGGGCAATGTCCTTGCAGACAGCCAATTCTCTCACACCAGAAGCGACTTGCAGTTTCTCAAGTCGCTCCTGAGATGACAAAAAAATAAATAAATAGTGCAGGCAAAGAATAATGTCGGATTTTCTCAACAATATAAAATTCTGTTATTCTGAAACAAAGAAAAAAATCACTTTGGCGAACACCAACATCATGAGAAACATTTCACTTCATAGACACAATATGTAGGAATGTTCTGTAGTCTATGGAAATTGTAATGTACAAACACACGAATAATGTTAGCAAAGAGGAATATTTTGACTTCGACAGAGTAAGAATTTAATTTATAAATTAAACTTAAATAATTCTGTTTGAAGAGCAGTGATTTGTGGGAAGTCAACAAGTACAAAGATCAAACAATATTGTGTGAGTGTCTTAATACCTTTAGTCATGTGTGGTTGTTAAAAAATGAGATTTATTACAAATATAGAATGCAAAATATTATCCCATTATTATTATTATTATTATTATTAATAATAATAATAATAATAATAATAATAATAATAATATTTCAAACACAACAAGATGAGTCCACAGCAGACAAGATCACTCTGCTGGCTGTTGTATTGGATCACATGCCGGACACTTCCCAAGTATCTAGGACTGTGTGATGTATCGGCGAATAATGCGTGCAGATCCCAGAAAGGTAGCCTTCTGCAGTAATTTTGTCAGCGCCAATTGTGTTTAAGTGCAGGCCAAGGTCTTTAGGCACTGCACCCAGTGAGCTGATCACTGCTGGGACCACCTTTACTGGCTTGTGCCAGATTATTATTATTATTATTATTATTATTATTATTATTATTATTATCATTATTATGTTGTTGAAGGCTTGCAAGGCCAGAATCAATGGGTTGCTGTGAGTTTTCCTGGCTGTGTGGCCATGTTCCAGAAGCATGCTTTCCTAATGTTTCGCCCACATCTATGGCAGGCATCTTCAGACCACAACCTCTCAGGATGCCTGCCATAGATGTGGATGAAATGTCAGGAGAGAATGCTTTTGGAACATGGCCATACAGCCCAGAAAACTCACAGCAACCCATTGTTGTTGTTGTTGTTGTTGTTGTTGTTGTTGTTGTTGTTGTTATTATATTTCTTACCCGTGGCTCAAGGCTGGATACAACATAGCAAAACACACATAGTCATTATATAACATACACATATTAAAACTTATTTCTAAAAAATACTATACTAAAATACACAGAACAAAGATGAAAATATAGTGAACACAAGACGTGACTTTAAAATTTAGGATTAATATGCGAAATGAAACTAACATTTTTGGATACCATCACCACCTAATAATTAATTGATCCATAGTTGAGTACATTAAGATAATCTAGTAAAAAGGCAAATAAACAAACAAACATTGTTACAGAAGTGGCACATTTAATTCTGTAAAATATTTAAAATATTAAGCAATCTAATTTTAAACTAAGCAGCACACACTGTTTATTCATATTACCACACAAAACATATGGTGCCGGAAATAGGGAGTTCCTTAGCTATTTTTCTTTGGACTGGATGGAAAAAGACACAATTTTCTTAACAAGGAAAGGAAAAGGAATTCAGCTAGCAATATAATGATCTCAAATAGCTATCCATAATCAGCTAACACAATAGCTAGTGGTCAGATTTACTTGATCTGTTTCATTTTTCTTTTACTCCTGTTTTGCAGTAGTTGTTGTCTGTTAACACATTTGAGAATATTTTCCCCTGCAGACAAGAAAGAAATAGAAAAAAGAAAGAAGAAGGGTTAGAACAGTGTCAACAATCTCCATTCTCTATCCGAACCTTTTCCATATTTCACATTGTATAAGGCTTCACTCTTCATAGGCTTTACAAATGTGAAGCTTGCAAAACAAATTCAAAAACTCAACAGAAAGGGCCTGATAAGGAATGGGTTATACAGAGAATGAGAGAAATATCTCTCTACCTATATAAGTTAAGAAATAAAACTTTAACATGATTTTGGGTTTTTATAGCAATATTTTTTTCTACATTATGGCTGAAATTATATTGCTTAGTATTAATTGGAATAAACCCTTCCACACAGTCATATAACCCAGAATATCCAGGCAGAAAATCCCATAATATCTGCTTTGAACTGGGTTATCTGAGTCCACACTGCCATTTATTCCAGTTCAAAGCAGATAATGTGGGATTTTATTCAGCTGTGTGGTAGTGGTCACACTAAGGCCCCATCTACACTGCCATATAATGCAGTTTATAAACTGCATTATATGGACAGTATATTTATTTGCTTTTTTATTTACTTTGTTCTGTATCCTGCCCTCTCTCCCTCGTCGAGGGATTCGGAGCGGCTAAAATATGGCAATATATGGCAACAATTTGATGCAATTCCACATAAACCACATAACAGCATCACATCCTGCTGTTAGGCCCAGCTTCTGCCAACCAAGCAGTTTGAAGACATGCAAATGTGAGTAGATCAATAGGTACCGCTTCTATGGGAAGGTAATGTTGGCCACATGGCCTTGGAGGTGTCTGCAGAAATGGAGCACCACCCCACAGAGTTGGACATGACTAGACTTTTTTTTGTTATGTCAGGAGCAACTTGAGAAACTACTAGCCACTTCTGGTGTGAGAGAATTGGCCATCTGCAAGGTTGCCCAGGGGATGCCTGGATGTTTTGATGTTTTTATCATCCTTGTGGGAGGCTTCTCTCATGTCCCCGCATGAGGAGCTGGAGCTGATAGAGGGAGCTCATCCGTGCTCTCCCCAGATTCGAACTTATGACCTGTCCGTCTTCAGTCCTGCCAGCACAGGGGCTTAACCCACTGCGCCACCGAGGGCTCCGCGACTAGACTTAATGTCAGGGGAAACTTTTACCTTTAGACTCATATAATGCAGTTCAGCCCAGTTCAACTGCAATATGAAGCTGCATTGTATGGTTGTATAGATGTGGCCTGAGTTTCAACTGCAATTGTATGACAGTATAATGTAATTTAACTGCATTGATAACAACAACAACAACAACAACAACAACAACAACAACAACACTTTATTTATATTCCACTATCTCCTCGAGGGGACTCAGAGCAGATTACAACATTCACAGATAGGCAAACATTCAGTGCATTTAATACATTGAATGCCTTTAATACATTAAAAGGTAAAGGCTTCCCCTTTCATCTCTGGCTTTCTGGAGGTAGTAGTGTCCAACTTTGGCCATGAGGAGGTAGTCCTTTTACATTTCCAAGCCAAGGAGCCTATTGTCCATAGGCATCTCCTGGTTGTATTGCCGGCATGGCTGCATCGGCACCTTTATTATCTTTCTGCCAAAGTGGTACCTACTGATCTACTTGCATGTTTTCAAACTGCTAGGTTGGCAGGAGCTAGGGCTAACAGTGGGAGCTCACATAGTGGATTCTGGTGCAATCCCTAGAATCTTACTTACTGTTATGTTCCATCGTTGAAAAGATCTTACAGTCAGGTGGAATCTCCTAATGTTCAGGTGGAATCTCCTTTCCTGTAATTTGAACTCATTGCTCCAAGTCCTAGTTTCCAGGACCACAGAAAACAAGCCTGCTCTCTCTTCCTTATGACATGCTTTCACATATTTATACATGGTGATAATGTCTCCTCTCAACCTTCTCTTCTGCAAGCTAAACAGACCCAGCACTTTAAGCAGCTCCTCATAGGGATTCATGGTTTCCAGGCCTTTGATCATTTTAGTCACTCTCCTCTTGACACGTTCCAACTTGTCAATATCTCTCTTGAATTGTGATGCCCAAATTTGGACATTGTCTAATATGATTCAGCCCGTTTTTAAAATAAGAAGTATATCCCAGTCTTTCCCATCCATCTCCCCATCTCCAAATCACACACAATTTTCTTTAGTAGTGAATTTTCATTCAATATTAATATTGCTGAGAAATGAGAGAGGTAGCTGTGGTTATTTCAATAATCGCAACCATATTGGCAGAGTTGAATCTGAACAGCAACCTGACAGTTTCTCAAGTCGCTCCTAACACAACAAAAAAAAACAAAACAAACAAAAACAAACAAACAAAAAACCAACCTGACACACAGAGAGACACAGGTGTAGCAGACAAAGGGGGGGGGGGACCTCAATCTTTATACTTTACTTACCTCCAAAAAACCTTGGATGGAAGAGAAGGTTAGAGTGATACAGGAAAAGCCTCCAAAACAAAAAGTCACCATAAATACTTCTTGTGCCTAAATGCTTACTGATACATTAATATAAGCATGCAAAGGTTGTTAACTCTTTCTCAATGATGTGGACATATTATGTACTAGCTGTCCCCTGCCACGCGTTGCTGTGGCCTACATGGGGGTTCTGTGTGGGAGGTTTGACCCAATTCTATCGTTGATGGGATTCAGAATGCTCTGTGATTGTAGGTGAACTATAAATCCCAGCAACTACAACTCCCAAATGTCAAGATTCTGTTTTTCTTGAACTCCACCAGTGTTCCCATTTGGGCATACTGAGTATTTGTGTAGAGCTTGGTCCAGATCAGAGGCGGCTGTAGATAATTTTCAATGGTAAGCAAACAGTATTTTGCCCCCTCCCCCCAATCAATCACTGATATATATTTTCTGTTCGTCGTGGGAGTTCTGTGTGCCATATTTGGTTCAATTCCATCATTGGTGGAGTTCAGAATGCTCTTTGATTGTAGGTGAACTATACATCCCAGTAACTACAACTCACATATGTCAAGGTCTATTTTCCCCCAAGAGCGCCTCAAGAGACCCCTGGGCAAAATCAACTATACTGCAAATGCTTACTTTATGTAATGGGTTGAGCCACCCTTGGTCCAGATCCATCATTGCTTGAGTCCACAGTGCTCTCTGGATGGAGGTGAACTACAACTCCAAAACTCAAGGTCAATGCCCACCAAACCCTTCTAGTGTTTTCTGTTAGTCATGGGAGTTCTGTGTGCCAAGTTTGGTTCAATTCCATCATTGGTGGAGTTCAGAATGCTCTTTGATTGTAGGTGAACTATAAATCCCAGCAACTACAACTCCCAAATGACAAAATCAATTTTTTTGAGTGAAGGACATACATTGGGTTGTTAGATGTATTGTGTCCAAATTTGATATCATTTCGTCCAGTGGCTTTTGAGTTCTATTAATCCCACAAACAAACATTACATTTTTATTTATATAGACTAGCTGTACCCGCCACACGTTACTGTGGCCAACTTTCCCTCTTTCTCTCCTTCTTTCCCTCCTTCCTTCACTCCCTCTTTCCTTCCCGTTTTCCCTTCTCTTCTTCCTTCCTTCTCTATCTCTTTCCTTCTTTTCCCCTTTTCTCTTCGGCTGTCTCTTTTTTCTTCCTTCTCTTTCCTTCTTTCCTTCCCTCTCTCTTTCTCTACATCTTCCCCCCTTCCTTCGCTCCCTCTTTCCCTTTTTCTTTCCTTCTCTAACTTTTCTTCCTTCTCCCTTTTTTCTTTC